AGTCATGAATCATTTTGTGTGCTCACATGTGCGTGTGCTGCACTGTGCCCGTTGTTTCAGAGCAGGATGGGAGCCCACACATGTGAACAAGCTGCTGTTAGGACTCAGGCTCCCAGGGGGCAGCAGGAGGTCAGAACCAGTTTGTAGATTTGTTTGTTGTCCTGCTTGGTCTCTGGTCCATTGGAGGGACGGGGAGGGTAACCCACCGGGCCATGAGCAGAGCAGTCTGTGAGCGGTGTAGTTCAGAGCCGCCTCCACAGAGCAGGAGGGGGAACCATCGGGGGGGTCTGCAGGGACAACATAAAGCGTAATAGAGCAGTGATGCACAAAGTGGGGGTCACATGAGGTTTGTGAGTCTGTGTGAACAACATTTAAGCTGTTTGATGAGGTTTATACAGAATCAAATGATGCTGTGTTTTGTTATGATGTGTTATTTTTGCAGACAGCACAAGGAGCAAAATGCTTCAAATTCTAACTGAACAGAATCACAAGCCGCTGCTCGTTGTCTACAGAATAAAAGACACACCATTAAAAATTGTAAAGCAGTTAAACTTGAGTTTGTGCATTAGCACATCCATTTTTTGTCTTTAGTCCTACACAGGTTGGAGCAGAAAGAGCAGCAGAAAGGAGGAGGGTTTGAGGTCAAAGGTCACACTCACAGTAGACCGTCAGACGGATGGTTCTGCTGGAGTTCGTGTTCAGGTAAGGGTTTCGTGTCAAGCAGGTGTAGTCTCCAGTCTGGTTGCGGAGGATCTTTTTGACGGTGAACTGCGGCCCGCTGTGGATCTGGGAGTTGTTGCAGAACCAGACATACCGACTGGCTGGATTGGACCGAGCATCACATGACAAAGTAACGTTTTCTGTCTCCAGAGTTGAGAACCCGAGCTCTGTTATTGTGTATGGAGTCACGTTTATCTGAGGAACATCTGGACCATCTGAGGAGGAACAACATGGAAACAGCGAAGACATTAAAACAGATGTGTCGTAGACTGGAGAAAAGAGTTTCAGGACTTGAACTTAAAATGAGGTGCTTCCTGCTCAGTTTTTACTCTTTAACTTTAGTTTCTGTTATTCCTCTGGTAAACTTACATGTGACGTTCAACAGCAAGCTCTCAGAGCTCTCGTTGTTGACAGCGTTACTTGCCACACAGCGGTACCAGCCCGTGTGGTTTCGGTTGATGCCAGTTATGGTGACAATGCTGCTGTTGCCCTTTGAGAAAGTTGTGACGTTTCCACTGGGGGCTTCACGTTGCCACGTGTACTGGATCGGCTCTGACCCATTTTCCACTTTGCACTGGATCCACATGTCTGAGCCTTCTACAGGGTACTCATCTTTTATGAGGAGGTATGGCTTACTGACGGGGACTGTAAACACAAACATGCAGGTCAGCAAACTGTATTTTGTGTCTGATAAAGAAAAAAAACAGTTTTCAGTAAATAAATTATCATTTTACAAAGTTTGTCCATTTTTTCAACTTCCTTTCATAAGCTTTATAATAGTTGATGTTCCTGATTCTTAACTTTGGCACCTGGCAAACCTCTTTGTATTGCAGGAGGTCCATAAATAAATGTTCAATCTAAATTTGACCACTGAAGGACGTAGGGACATACAAAGGCCTGAGGGCACCAGAGGCCTCAGCTGTCAGGCTTTTGTGCTCCAGAAAAAGGATCCAACAACATTTTTTTCAATAGAAACCTCCGTTCACCCCTCAGCAGTCCTCCAGACTTTGGTAGAACACTTTAATAGCCAAAGAAAAAATTAATGGTGGAGGAATCTCACTGAGATGGCTCAGTTGGTAGAGCTGTTGCCTCTCAGTGAGAAAGTTGCCGGATCGAATCCCTGCAACATTTCTGGGTGGAGTTTGCATGTTCTCTCCGTGCATGCGTGTGTTTTCTTCGGGTGCTTCAGTTTCCTCCCACAGACCAAAAAACATGCATGTTAGGCTGATTGCTAACTCTAAATTGTCTCTAGGTGTGAGTGAGAGAGTGAATGGTTGTTTGTCTCGTTTGTCTCTATGTGTCCCTATGATGGACTGAAGACCTGTCCAGGGTGTCCCCCGCCTCTCGCAGTGACTGCTGAACATGGGCACCAGTGACCCTCGTGAACCAAAATGGAAGAAGCGGGTAAAGATAATGGATGGATGGATGGATGGAATGAATCACAATGAACCCAGCTGTAGAAGAAACTAGAGGTCTAGTCACATGAGGATTTAAACTTCCCAGCAGAACTTGATTGCTTCAGGTGAACATCAGAACATTAGTTCTGATGGATTTAAACAGTACCTCCACTTTGTCTCTTTTTGGCCTGGATTAACAGTTCCTGATCATCTGACAAGAAACACTGATAAAGGCATTGCATAGTTTAACATCTCTGCAGTACTTTGACCTGTCTGTGACCAGTTTACAAACAGTATTTCTCCATGGTCAGTGTCCTCAGTATCATTGAGGAATCCCCTCTTTTGGACATAAGGTGGCATTATCTGCAGAATCTAGAGAGCTAATCTCTCCAGAGTTTCTGGGATAGGTTGGTGAGAGAATGTCAACCAATGTAATCCACGTCCATTGATTCACATTCTGTTTATGTGAATAAACAATAAATAAAATTGACTTGAAATGAATTGATTTCACCTTAGAAGATTTAGAGAATATCAGAGATAAAGTTATCCGATGTGCATGGGAAAATCCAAACCACTGCTGGTCCCTAACAAACTCCATGTGAACCTTATGAGGAAACATTTTTGTTAGAAGTGTGTGTGTGTGGGGGGGGGGGAGGGGGGGGGGTTGTATGAAATAAACTGACTGAATAAACAATTTGCCAGGTTTGGATGTGTTCTATATATAGAGGACATCTTCCAGTCAGTCTTGGGCAGATCTTGATGGTTTTTTGTTTGTTTGTTTGTTTGTTTGTTTAGTCTTACTATTCTCCATAAAGCTTTGTCTTATTAAATTTGATGAAATCTACACCTGATTGTTTGTGAATCTTTTTTTTTTCTCTGCCACACACCTCTAAAGGGAGCTAGTAGGATGCAAACTCAGTTTTGGAACAATTCAAACTGGAATGTGCAAGAATAACATCGATGAAGGTGCTGCTGCTGCTCCTTGTCTCATTTTCACATGGCTTCTTTAAGCTCAGGTCTTTTTAGAGGTCCAAGAGTTAAGCAGAGTAAAACATGGTTCTGCACATCCTTCTAGGGTTTCAGTTTTTTCTAAGCAAAACTGTTGGTTGGTTAAGGACTGGGGAGGTTTTGTCACAACCTGTTTCTGAGAAGACACAATTCAAACCAGTCAAATCAAGAAAGAAAATGATTAAATCAAAAGTCTGACAGCATTGCACTGAAGTGCACCAAGGGTGTCCAGTCCTGGTCCTGGAAGGCCACTATCGTGCAGGTTTTACTTGTTTCTTGCTCCAACACACCTGGCTCAATGGTTGAATCACCTCTTTATGTCCTGCAGAAGCCTATTGATTCAAACCAGGTGTGTTGGAGCAGAGGAACCATGCAGTGGCCCTCCAGGACCAGGACTGGACACACAAGGTAAACCCTACCTTGGACAAAAAGGTGCACGTAGTAATAGAAGGCCAAGACTCCATCTTTATTGTCGAAGAAGGCCTGGCAGGTGAACAGGCCATGAGCAGCCAGAGGAAGTCTGTCGAAGCTCAGTGCCGCTCGGTCTGAGATGACTGTCAGAGGTCCAATCGTCTCGGCCAGCTGCTGGATCCTGGGCCCTTTCCCCAGGTCATACACCACGGCTTTGATACTGTCTGTGCCGGGCTTGGTGAAGCTCCAGATGTAGATGTCAGGTAACCTTGGCCCGCATTCCAGGAGGACCAGATGGTCCACCACTCCAAACACGTTGGTGTCATTATAAACCACCTCACCAGTGTGATTTATCTGAAGAGCTGGAGGAGAGAGATAACACAATGTCGTGTGTGTGTGTGTGTGCGTGCGTGCGTGCGTGCGTGCGTGCGTGCGTGCGTGCGTGCGTGTGTGTGTGTGTGTGTGTGGTGTCAGTGTCCAGCAGCAGGATGGATTACACAGCAGGTCTCAAAGAGAGTGTATTATAATTTATCGCTTACAATTTAAATACACACTCTTGTTTTTCCTTTGAGTCACACACATTTAGTTTCCTTTGTCTCAGCCATCATATCATGATCACAGTGTCATACAAGATCATTTCAATAGAAATATAATTCAACCAACTGATGTGTAAGTGCTGAATTCAGTCATTTACCATAAATATGACAAATATATTTCCTTTTAAAGATAAATATTCATAATAATAAATGAAATAATGAAAGTTCTTACCATTTGCTGTGACACTGACCAGATTAGTTGCAAGATAAATAAAGGCCGGTCCTAAGACTTGGGCCACCATGATATCATGATGATCTTGAGTCCAGCATCGTCTTTACTCCAAAAGTTGTAATAATAATTTTAAAAAAGTCTTCAGGCATCAAAAACCATCTTCTTTCTTTTCTGGAGTTGTGTTTTCTCTCTTTGTGATCCAACAGTGTTTTTTTACTAATCCTTCTGCAGGTACAAACACTTCAATAGCCTGTTATTGGGCACAAAGAAGGGTAAATAATCAGATTTAGGCACATCGATGGATGTTTTTCTTCTCCTGTGTCCTGCTGAGCCTCCTTCTTTTGCCTGCAGGGTTAGAGTAACACAGTGATAGTAAGCTCATCTATTATACACCATGTTAGCATGGCTGAATGCTTTAGATTTCCAGACCCATGCAACATACCTGCACTTTACAGAACACAGTCAGGATTGTTTTCAGCTGATAAAAATGATGCTGTTTTTACCATGAAGTTCTTTTGGTTAGAACTTTTGATCTTTAGCTCCATTAAATTCTCCAATTCTGAAGTGAACACTAAAAATAGCAAACTGCTGTAATTAGGTGTAATTTGATCAGTGATGTCTCTTATTTGCATGTTATTGTGAAACTCCATATTGTATTGAGTTTGTGAATGTGGAATATTAAAAAACAACATATTATTATTTATTTTTATTTGTTTTGTGGCTGTACATCACAATCTAAAGTGTTTTAAGTGCCTTGCAAGTCATTTTGACCCAAGAGCAACAGAAGGGTGAAGGGCACTAAATAAATAACCACATAATTTATAATGAATTCTTCAAAAAGACTCCTTTCATGTTGTTTTACCAAACTGAGTTTTGTCATGACTCCGGTCCTCTTGGCTGAGGTTTAAAATTAAAGGCTTTATATTCTAATCTCAATGGTCACGTCAGGACTACAGCGGCAGAGTAACCTCTACTGATGGGATTAGGATTAAAATAGATTTACATCTTGTAGAGATGAGTTAGTTTTGTTTTTTTTCACAGTACTGTGTAACCTGAGCGTCTTACATTTAAAAACAAAAATAGCGTTAGAAGTGGGAGTAAAAAAGTTTACATCAAGAGAAAGAGGCAAACTGTAAAAAACATAAAATAAATAAAAGCAAAAGAATGTCATGTGATATGTCAGACCCAAATGTGAGGAGGGTAGATATCAGTTTTCCTCACCTGTAAGGATGAAACAGTGACGACAGCTCATAATGAATCTTGATTCAGTGAACTGAGCCCAACGGTCCGGCTCCCTGTAAAGTGATGGACGACTCATCGTCAACAGCATCTTCAGAGAAGAACGCTGCAACAGGGTGGAAACTGACCACCAGGCAAAAGGCCGAGGATGTCGATGAGAATGAAAAAGCACTGATGAGTAAACAATATCATATTCTAATTTTTTGTGGCTCATCAGAAATTATGCCCTGATCAGGTAAACATCTCCAAAAGTGTTCAACAAAACTTGACTTTATCACATGTCCAAGTAGAGTTTATGTCAAACTGTGATGAAATACATGAGATTTTACATGTCTTTAATCAGAAAGCCTGTTTTTTGCTTTTTTTTTTCAGCAACATTCCTACATGACTGAAGATGCCAAATGTTTCAAGAAAATTATTTGAAATGATTGAGCAGCTGAGTTGGGTACGATGGTGAGCCCATGAAAATCTTCTCTGGCAACACCAAGCAACTTATTCTGCTGTTTGGTGTCATTTATTAGATTAAATTATTAAAATATGAAGAAAGAAAGTCATATCTGCAATTTAAAAAGTAATTGGGGGTTTCGGTAGCATGTGGAAGAACCATACACAGCCACAACAGCCTGGTGCCTCATTCTCATGCTGCTCTCCAGTACTGTCACACACACGCCAATATCTCATTCATCAAACAACATTCTCTAAAAAATAATCTGTCTCTTTGTTTAAGTTTTTAAACAAACAGAAATGTTTTAAAAATCATAAAAGACCTAAAACAGGACAGGTTTATGATTTAAAGTCATACAGTGAGGAAAAAAGGTTTGTGCCTTTTTATGCAGTGGATGGATAAAATCAGCACAAAATACCTAAAAAGTGGTGGAAAAAGTGGATTAAAGCTGAAATTAATATAAAGAAACTGAAACATCTGGTTTGAACAGTATTTTTTTCTCTGCTTGGTTTGTGATTGTTGGCGCTCATTTGTAAAAAAAGTTTTCAACTTTTCATGTGCTCAAATACAGCATGTGAAATGGTACCTATAAGAATATTCTTGTAAAACTTGTGCAACAAAGTGATACATGTGATTATTTTTTTATTAAATTCTAAATTTCCAGTGTTTGTCCAACAGTAATAAATAACACCGACTGAAACGTGACTTTTTCATAAATTCTCTTGAGATATAAATTCATTTTATGACAGAAAAAATCAAATAAAACAACAATGATACAAAACACAACAGAAGTTTTACATGAACCCAAGAGGTGAAATAAAACGTCAAAGGAGTGGTTTTATATACAACACAGAGTGAATGAATCAAAGGTAAATGGAATTTTCACAAACTGTTGCTAAGAATTTCTCTTTTATTAATTTATTTTTGTACAAAATGATGCAACAGTGGAGGAAGTAGAGAGAGCAACATCCAGGTAATCCTTTCAGTTGGATCAAATTAAATATATTTAATTCCATCTATGATATACTTTATTTAAATGAATCTCCTCTATCCTGAAACCTAAATATCAGATTAAAATCCACTTGCAGGTAGGAGAACAAAAAACCTCACACAAATCACTTTAAAAGTCCAGCAACAGAACAACCAGTGACCTTTGACCTCTGATTCATCAGGGGTAGAGCCACAAACTCCAGCTCCTCCTCCTCGTTTAGGTTTGACCTGCAGTTTCTGTTGTTCCTCAGAGGAGAAGCCTGAAGAGACGTCCTTCAAACATACTGCTCTTTAGGAAACGTGTACGACCCCACTCCTGGGGGGGGAGAGGACAGACCCGGCACAGATGGGTATTTAAAAACGGTTGTGCTGTGCGACGGAGGAAGGAAGTTGTTTTTGGATGGGGTGCTGGTGGAGCTGGAGCTTAACGTTGGCATCGTTTGTGTCTGTGGGGTTTGGTAGGGCTGCTGGGGCAGGAAGGACAAGGGGGGGTTGATTGGGGGGGAGTAGGGTTCTGGATAATCCTCCTTGTTGCAGGCCAGTCTGTAGCTCACGTAGTCAGCTGTGTTTGGAAGTTCCTCATAAAACCGCCCTGGGTGCTGGAAAGAAATCAGAGACATTTGTTCCAATTAAAACAAGAGAGATGTTGTTCGTGTGTGAATCACTGATGAAGGTTTTCTGCTGAAAACGTTTGAGAGTTGGATCTGAACAGCTGACATTTACGCAAAGCAGGAAAATAAAAGCTGAAAGCAGCAGGAAAACAGCTGAAATGTGTGGAAAAAGCTGAAATGTTGCAAAATTTGTAGAATATATACAAGGCTGAATACATTACAAAAAATTTTAAATAGCAACAAAGACGGTGAAATCAGCACAAACAATAAACAGCTGAAAAAGCTTTTTTTAAAGCTGAAATTAGTTGAAAGAGGTTGAAAGGAGAGTAAAAAGTAAAGAAAATATTCGAAAGCTGCATAAAAAGCAAAAATTTGCTCAAATTAAAAAAGCAGAAAAAAATAGCAAAAATCAGCACAAAATACCTAAAAAAGTGTCTGAAAGAGCTGAAATTAATAGAAAGAAACTGAAATGAGCAAAAAAAGTAGCAGAAATATCTATAAAATAACCCTAAATAGCAGAAAAAGGTAAAAAAAAACCAACTATGTAGCATCAAAAGTTGAAATTATTCGAAAGAAGCACAAAAGTCCAAAATTAGCTGAACGTTTTGATTTATGATTTGTTGAATTTGAACAAAAATTGAGGAACGAATTACGCACTGAAAAACTTATAGAAGAAAAATAAATAAAAATAAATAAATGCGAGAATGATTTAAAATGATTTAAAAACTTTTATACAATTAGGAGACAAAAGTGTGTTGTTCATGTTTTAAAAGTTCTAAACCTTCCGAATGTTTAGAGGAACTATTTTTTTATTTTATTGTTGTCCAAAATACAATAAAAGAAAAGCTAGGAAAGGGCCTGCATGGGACAAAGCTGCACAAAAACACCCATGCAGGCTATTTTGATATTGTTTGTAGTGAAATGTTGTGTGGATTCAGGTGCAGGCATTCAAAAAGCAATTCAGTGCCATCAGAGACTGTATCATTAAATGATGATTGATTAAAAGTGCCAAACTCAAGGCCCAGGGGCCAAATGTGGCCCTCGTTGACATCTTAGCTGGCCCCCAAGATGTTTCTTTAAATGTAAAATACTTTTATCACTTTAATTTTTTCAGTAATATTTGATTATGATGTCAAAAGTGCAACAGAGAAGATCAAATGAGACCAGTCAAACTCTTGTCGGGGAACCTGCAACCAAGAAAAGATGTCGGGTATCTAACTTGAATTAATGTAGATTCTGAAACCAACCCTTAGTTTGAAAAATGTTTTAATTTTGGCCCCCTTTTGTAATTGGGTTTGACACCCCTGCACTAGAGAGACACAAATGTAAAAAAAAAAATCCTCAATTTAATAATCTGGTGGATTTGCACTGAGACAGATCTGACTGCAGAGGGAAGCAAACTCTTCTAAATGTTTTCTTCTTGAACTTCTGAGGCTGCAACATCAAGACCTGACTTTTTAAAAAAATATTCTCAATAAATGCTAAAGGTTTTATTCTACAATCGTGAGGGTTTTTTTTCTATTTAATCTAGAAGAAATATATTTATGTGCACCACAAAAAATATTTTTCAATGCATTTATTTAAAAAAAATAATTCATTTGCATGCTTTTTGTGCACATTATGACACAGTCCACACATTTTTATGGCACTACAAAAAGATATGAAGAGCAGGTGGTGTCAGTGACGATGAAGTGTCATTTGATGAAGATGAGCTCAGAGCGGCAATCTGACCAGATGAAGATGTTAGGACCACAGTGGTGGAACATCAACAGGAAACAGGTCAGAGTGAGAATGAGGGACTCGATGATGAAAATGGTTTAATTAGAGTTGGATGATTTATAACTTCATGACATCTCGTCTAGTTTGTAGTTTTTTTCATGTCCACACAAAGGTTGTTTATCCGTATGTACCTGCAGGTCCGTGTGTGGAGGTGCATGGTGGTCAAGATAAGGAGCATGTTACAACAAAGGTTTAAACGTTTTACCTTGAATCTCATGCTGCTGATCTGTTTCATGTTGCTGCTGATCTGTTTCATGTTGCTGCTGATCTGTTTCATGTTGCTGTATTCATTTGTACTCATCTGCTCACACAGACTCATGTTCGTGCTGCTGTTCAGCGTATTGTTTTGTACTATCAGTGCTTAGTGTATTCTTAGTTTAGCGTATTTCTTAGTTCATATCTTAGATCTTATTACTGTTTTTCTTTTACAATTTATAATTTTGTTGAATGTAACTGGGACCCTGTGTACACAATATTGTTCCGCCACATGTACCACATGTGATGTGAATGACAAATAAAGAACCTTGACCTTGACCTTGAATCAACACTGATCATAATGTTTTGATGTGATACAATATGTTTTGGTTATGTTTTATGATGGTTGCAATGAGGACAACAGATGAATATGCAGATGTGTGTTTTTAATTAATCTGAAATGTGAAATGCATAGAAAACAAGACAAATCAGATTTTTCAAGTGTTGGGTTAAAGAAGTTGCTGTTTCCAGTTAAAATATATATATTTTAGTTTTTGCATGAAAAAATCAAAGATTTTTTGTATTGCAGTGCAATGTTTTTTTTTATTTTTTTTTTTAGCCTTTATTTATCCAGGTTAGTCTCATTGAGCCACGAGAACTCATTTTCAAGAGAGACCTGTTTAGGGAGCACATGGTGGGGGTTAAGGGCCTTGCTCGTGGGCCCAGAGTGGGGTGAATGAGGGTGGGGGCAAGTGTGGGTGTTTCACCTACCCCACCCACAATTTTTGATGTTGTCGGGGCCAAGATGTGAACCGGCGATCTTCGGATCACAAGCCCACCTCTCTAACCTCTGCGCCACCACTCCCCCTTACAGTGCAATGTTGTCTTGAGGCAACAAACTGTCATTTAATAAATGAAATACATATGATTAAAAATGAGTATTGATATATATTTTCCTAATTGACATCACCCTAGAGGGCTGACCTGCTGGTCAAACTGTGTGAACATCCAGACAAACAGAACAGTTACCTGAATCTCATCTGTCCTTTTCCTGATCGGCAGTTTTCTAGACGGAGAACCACTTCTGATCAAAGGAGAAACGGGAAGAATAAAAGATGATGAGTCAGACAAACCGGCGTGTGGAGTTACATCATGCTTACGTACAAGGAGTCGTCTTTTCTGCTTCTTATCTTCAGCACCAGGACTGTGATTGTGATGCCCATCAGCACTCCGGCAGCCAATAATAAGGCGATGACGCTGATGACATCACCTGTCGCTATCTGTGGCAGAGGCTTTTCTAAAACATACAACAATAAAAACCAGAAACACATTCACTGTACAATAAATAGAAGCATCATGTCAGATAATGAAAATATAAAGTGAACGTCAGATAAGATGTTTACCTATAACGCTGACCTCCACTGAGGCTGATCTTGTCCCGATGCTGTTGGTGGCGTCGCACACGTACGTTCCCTGCAGCTCGTAGCTGACTGGACCTTTGAAGAGCAGGACGTTGTCTCGGACTTCGACGCTGCTCAGAATGGAGCCGTTGATCCTGTGGAGGACCAGAGCAGAACCACGAATCTGAACCCGTCTCTTGAGTCTAACTTTCAACTTCCATTTTACTATGATTAAGCATTTAATTAAATGTGTTGTTAGTAGGTGGACCATCTGCATAACAACAGATATTATTTTTCATGATTTTAGAAAAAATTAGTGAGTTGTTTTTATTTCATGTGAAATATAAAAGCCTCTTTTAAAGGTTTTGGCAGAAATTATGTTCTCGGATGACAAAGTCTCAAACTTATATTTATATGTTAGTTCTATAGCTTTTTGTTCGAAACTTGGTGTCCCTTACCACAATGTGGGTTACTGGGACCCCACCCAGGAGTCAGGCCTGCAGGGGCTCAATCACCTGGTGACCTGACCTCTACCATTTATTACATCCTGTGGGCCCACCACCTGCAGGAGGGGCCACACGGGTCAGGTGGTGCCATGGGTGGCTTTTGAAGGCGGGGGACTTGGTGCCCTGACCCAGGCTTACCAAAGCTCTTGGGACATGGAACATCACCCCTTTGGTGGGGAAGCTACCTGAGCTTGTTTGTGAAGTTGAGAGGTACTGACTAGATATACTTGGGCTCACCTCAGTGCACAGCATGGGCTCCAGAACCAGTCTCCTTGAGGGGGTGCTGGACTTTATTTCACTCTGGAGTCGCCCATGGTGAGAGGCGCAGGGCGTGAGGACAATAGATCAGTTTCAAAAGTAGTTACACCAGCATGCAAGGAAGTTTGTATGCATACAATAAGATCCACAAGCATACTGCAAGTTTTACAAATGTGCTTTACAAGATTCACAAATACATAAACAGGTTTTCATATCTAAACATTTCAATTTGCACTGGTAGAAAAATTCTGCTCATACAAATGATCAAATACATGTGCACAAATCATCTGCTCTGCACGGATCAGCTGCCTGTGAATGTGACTTTTTGAAACATAGGTGGCCCTCTAGAGTCACAAAGGTAATGCTGCATTCAAGACTGGTGAAAAGCTGGGACATCTGAGTCATACCAGATACAAAATACTGAATTATTGGAAAAAAATACTAATTTTAACTTGTCACAACACCTCATAACCCTTATATTAAAACACATATGCACATACACTTTAAAAATATTTTCCATATTTTATTTTATTCTTTTACTTTTTGATCCAGAATTTTTTTCCAGAAGAAGAATAATCTTCTCATTTTAGGTCGTTCATTTTCACCATGCAGTTCCCTTGATTAACATTTTGGAATCAGTGTTATAGGTTTGGTCTGAATTATGTCAGACCTGGCAACCCACATGGGACAGAGAGACAAGATGGAGAGTTAAAGCGAAACTTCACTATTTTCTATGCTGAGTTTTATGTTTCCTTTATTGTTTTTAATAAAGAAGAGTTTCAACATGGCACAAGGTGGCTCTGTTTTATTTTCATGGTTATTTAACAAGTTGGACTGTAGAGGAAAATTTGACAAGTTTTCTTCTACTACGGTACAAGAACTTGTTCGCCCATGAGTTCGGTAAAACTAGTAATGTTGATGTAAGCATGTCTTTTAATATAGAGGTTATGAGATACTGTACCAAGTTAGAAATTAGTCTTTTCCCAATTACTTGGTATATATGGTAAAACTCACATGGCCCAGAATTTCACCAACCTTGAATGCAGCATCACCTTTGACAATCTGAAGTGGCAAGAAAGTCTCAAAAGTCACATTCACAGGCAGTTGATCGTGTCAACTGATCCGTGCACATCAGGTGAATTGTGCACATGGGCTTGACAATTTGTAAGCACATAATATTCTTACTTGTACAAATAGAAATATGTACATTTGAAAACCTGTTTATGAGTTTGTAACATTAGTGGTACGCTTGTGGATCTTATTGTACGCACACAAATCTAATAAGCTGGTGTTACTACTTCTGATATTGGTTTATCTTTGTACAGGTCTACTTTTAGCCAACTCATAGCTTGGAGCCTATGAGTTTTAGTTTTCCCTTGTACATTTACCTCTCATTGGAGGGTAGCTTTATGCTTTCGGGTGGTGGGGACGAGGTCTGACATCTGTTCCTAGTATCCAGCCTTCTTGGAGTCCTGGAAGGAGCTCCAGCTGGAAACGCCATTGTTCCAACTGCCACGAGATGTTCTTTAATCTAACGTTGATAGCAAGAAGGCCATGGCCATGACGAGACATCTGTGGAGCTCTAAGGTTGAGGAGTTTATCGGTAATAAAGTCAAAACATTTGGCATCAGCTCACAAAACACAGAACCGGCAGATACTAGAAACATATCTGCAAGTTGGATTGACCTCTTTAAAGGTCACTATAAAGAAATGCTGATCAATATTTATTTTTCATAACACCAACTAGCAGCCATGAACTTTGCATGCTGTTGCCAAAATTTATGACAGTTAAAAGCATCTGATTCTAACAAAAGGAAATAAATGCTGAAGCACTGAGTCCTTTTCTCTGTTGGTGATCTAGTTCAGAAGGCATAAAGAAAATGGAAGTAGCAGTTTCAAATTGAAAAAATTAAAGTTTAAAAAGAACTGCACCTAGTATTGCAAGAAATGCAAATGAAAAACCCACATTTCTCTGAAAAAGAAAAGAAATACTTAAACAAATTCTGCAGCAGAGATAAACTTGGGGCAAAACCCTAAATAATGAAAACTTCCATAGAAAGAGTTACAAGAGTAAACCTGAATCTTCACCACAAAAGTAATCATCAGGCTATCTAATGGAGGTGATGGAGTTTGGACAATTTTATTTTGAAGCATGGCGCAAAATCAGAATATTATGTCTATAACTTCAAGATCAAGGTCTGGGCTTGAGTTTCTGTCACTGGGACAAATCCACCAGAACAGAGACAAACTTATTCAGTACTTTCTGAAAGCAGAAGCTGGAAATAACAAATAATTTTACAAGAGCTTTAATAACAAAATGTTACCTCAAAATCCACAATGTACTGCCTCAATAGTCTGCTTGTTAATCAGCTGAATTAACATTTATTATTTGTTTAAAGCATTATGACCAATTTGTAATATATAATACTATATATATATATATATATATATATATATATATAATGATACGACAGATGTGTTTGTGTAAGCTGTGACAAAATAAGAAACAGATGTGTGTGTAAGATTTGACAAAATAAGAAACAGATGTGTGTAAGGCGTGAGAAAACAAGAAACAGATGTGTGTGAGATGTGACAATATGAGAAACAGATGTGTGTGTAAGATGTGACAAAATAAAAAACATATGTGTATAAGACATGGCAAAACAAGAAACAGATGTGTGTAAGGCGTGAGAAAATAAGAAACAGATGTGTGTGAGATGTGACAATATGAGAAACAGATGTGTGTAAGACGTGAGAAGATAAAAAACAGATGTGTGTAAGACATGACAAAATAAGATACAGATGTGTTTAAGACGTGGGAAAATAAAAAACGTGTGTGAGATGTGACAAAATGAGAAACAGATGTGTGAAAGATGTGACAATATGAGAAACAGATGTGTGTGTGTGTGCGTGTGTGTGTGTGTGTGTGTGTGTGTGTGTGTGTGTGTGTGTGTGTGCGTGTGAAAGACGTAAAGAAATCATAAACAGGTGTGTGTAAAACTTGACAAAATCAGAAACAGGTGTGAGATGTGACAAAATGAGGAACAGATGTATTTGAAAGCCATCCAACAGATCCGCTCACATTCTCCACTGATACAAAGAGACGGGCGGGTTGGCATCAGCCTGGCAGCTCAGCTGGACATTCTCTCTGCTCAGGTACCAGTTTCCATCAAATCCTTCGATCGTCACCTCCGGCTCATCTGGTGGAAAAAATAAACAAGTAAATCAGCTTTTCATATTTTGCCTGGACTGTATAGTGTCTGAGAGAGGCTCACACTGTATGTCGAGGGTGACGCTGTCCGTGTACACCTCCTCGTTGTACATAGTGACACAGGTGAGTGTCTCCCGGTGGGTTTCTTTGCTTGGCACCAAGACATAGTCGCTCTGGACGGTGACGGTCCCGTCTGGGTTTGCGTATTCTCGGGTGGTCACCTCTCCGGGGACCCTCGTCTCCCACCTGCTCACAATCAGGAAGATTTTGATACAAACAGTACAAAGATGCGTGTGTGAAAAGTAAAGGACAGTGATTCGAAGAAGTAAGATTAAATCACGCATGAACACACACCTGATGGTTCCAGGTGGTTTTCCATTGGCAGAGACACAGGTCGCTACTGGAGTCTTGAGGTTGGAAGAACGAGCCACCAGCGTTGGTGTGGACAGACTCATCTGAGTTGTCGGACGCACTGAGAGAATATGATGAAAATTATTAATATTAATAATCACATTTCAAACTATCCAGAGTTAAATGACACAGGACTTCTCCAAAAGGTAAAGTCAAACCCTATTAAAGCATTTGTGTGAAGATATAAGCCTTTAGACACTTTAATATTTTCTTAATGGGTGCATATTTATGCAAAATTATGATTTTACTTTCTTATCACAAAAAAATCAGATGTAGCCTGAATTTAAAGACCTGAAATATTGTCTTCATACTTACAGAAAATAAGAAACAAAAAGAAAACACAACAAAGCTACACTATGTCTTACCTAATTAAATGTACTTTAATCCATTTGCACAGGTCAAAACAGTGTCCTGTCAGTGTCATGTTCTAAAATTTATTATGGTGTTCTGCAGGGTTCTGCTCTCAGTCCAGTTCTGTTCTCCTAATTTATGCTTCCATTAGGCTGCATTGTTAGAAAGTATACGTAACATACACTACCATTGTTAGGTTGATGACAGTTTTATTTATCGATGATATGTTCTATTTATGGTCTTCTATTGTCTTTAGTTTTTTACATTGTTAAACACTTTGAGTTACCTCTGTGTTTGAAAAGTGCTATGTGCGTATATTTGAGTTTAGGTGAGGTGAACTTAAGTCTTAATGTTTTATGTCTTAATTGTAAAAAAAAAAAAGATTGAAGAAGGCAGTAATCCTAGCTTTGTGAGTCTTCTGAAATAAAGTGCTTGCAAATAAAAAAGTTACACATATTCAAATTCAAAGGTCATTTAGCTTTTATGAGTGGCCTTTAATACAAACTAAACTACTAAACACCTTTTGTTGCAAAACAAACAATAAAAAACACAATGACAGATGATTTTGACTTTTTTTTTTAGAGTTTAGTCCTGTTTGAACTCCGAAAATGAAAATTTGTGATTCTTTAAAAGAGCCCTTTAAAACCCTATGCTCAGATTATCACTGGAAAACACTGTCTTTTTGAACGTTTTAAAATATTAATAAAACCATTCTTAATAGTCAAATGGCAGTGATATAAAGTTTAGGAAAAAAGCAAAAACAGCACCCCATATATATATATATAAGTTATTGCTCACAATGTGCATGGACTGATGAATGAAGCATACTGCTTGCTTATTTTTGCAAAACTAAAACCTCCCAGTTATTTATGTTCCAAAAAAGAAAAACTGTTATCAGTAACTTGACCAAATTCCACTAAACATCTCAATCTAAGCTAAACGCGCACATCCCGCATTTCCAGGTGGAATCGCCTGTCCTCACCATAGACACTGAGGTTCACCATGTTCTCTCGGTTCCCCGCAGGGAACGTAGTGTATTCACAGATGTACGTGGCTTCGTCAGACAGGCGCAGCGACGAGAAGATGATGGTCGTGTCTTCCAGATTCGGAGTTCGTCGTCTGACTGCTGCATTCTTGAAGATGACTCTGTCCCTGTACGGGGGGGCCACGGACACACCGAGGGACGGGTTGGCAATTGCAACGTTCTGCTTGGTGCCGTTCACCAGTTTCTGCCACGTTACCTTCAGAAGAAAGGATGGAGGAAAGAGTTAATGATGGAGCAATATTTTGTGACAGTTGTAAACATAAGTGGAAATAAAATGTTTCAGTCTAAAAATCATGATAATGTGTTTGGACCAGTGATCTTGTCCTTACAGTCTGACCTTTCTCGGTAGATGCTCACTGTTTATGTTTCTTATGGCAGTCCATAAAATATTGACAACAGTTCTGTTTACATAAAACCTGTTGTCAGTGCTTTCCCATCCAGCTCATGTGTAATGTAACAAATCTCAGTCCGGTCTCCATTTCCTTTTCCTGAGAATGGTTTCTTGTCTCTCATCCATCCACTACAAACATCTCCGATGACATTTCAGTCATCAGGAGCATCAGAGCTGGATTTCAGATTAAGTTCTTTGTTTTTCCTTTTGTCTGGAGTTTTATGAACTCAGTTTATGATGCTCCAAATGTTTCTATGAGAATTCTCTGATTGGTGTAAAAACACAGTCATATATCTTGCTTTGAATATCTGTTTGGATATAATCAAATATAATGAAACAAATTCTGTGATTTTTGCAACAGGCTGCAGAACAAAGAACCTAAAGATGTGTCGTGTTAATTTGCTAAGTTGACAGAGTTGACCCTCTTCTCTTTGGAGCAGAGGTAAAAAGAGACTCAGAGTTGAAACATTAAATATTCATTTATCAGCTGACTGTGATTCACCAGGAATGACCTTGGAAAATGTTTGTTTTTTTGTTTGTTTGTTTGTTTGTTTGTTTGTTTGCATAGAAGCACTGTCCTGGTTCTGCTAGGTCAGATCAGCATCATCCCACCACAGTTTGTCCTTGTTATGTTCCTGCAGTCAAAGCAAAATCATTTTAACACCAACTTTCTGGGAAAGAAGCGACTTGCTCACTTGAAACGAAATACATTTTTTATTGAGACACGACGACGAGGTGGTAAATTGTTCCTGACTTCTCCAGGAACTTACAGAAAGGTAGTGATGTCAGATTGACAGCTGCTGCTGCTCCAGCCAGGCAGCCATCTCTGTTTACCTGGAGACAGGTTTCTTTTTGCTTTGAGTAAAACTTTCTTCAGATATTCCACATTTATTAACACCACGACATGATTGAAGTGGTGGATGAAACACCTCAGTTGTTGGACTGTTATGAGGTGGAAACTAATCTTTTCTGTAAAAGTTTCTAAACAATTAATATCCTACCTGTTGTACATAGCTCTTTGAATGACCTCATTTTGGAGAAATAAAGTTTTATTCTGAGTCGACTGATGAATACTGACTCACAGCGTCAGTTTCACTTCACACAATGCATGGGAAGTGCTATAGCTAGCTACTACTGCCACTCCTTGCATGTGGAAATGACCACAGAGCTCATAGAATGCATTTCTTTCATTAATTCTGTGCTGCAGCTGATTACCTGGGAGATCTTGACAGGTGGTTTGCTGTTGATGAACCGACAGCGAAGATCCACCTTTGAGCCAACATACCCAGACTTCCCATCATCCATCTCTACCTTCTGTCCACCTATTCCTGGAATAGATACACAAAAAGATGACATAAAAACACTTCCTCTCATGTGTTGATCAAAGCGACAGTCCTGTGAGTTGTAATCAAAACGTGCTGATCTTTGACACGAGCAGGGCGTTCAGGTGCAGGTGAACTGAGATCAACGATCATGGATTAGTTAGAGGTATAAATAAGCAGGATTTATTTAGGTTCTCTTCCCACTGACTTACTGATCTGCTACAGCAGAGTGACACTCACTGATGTACTGAGTGTCCACAGAAACAGAGTCCTGTGCTCTCTCTCGAGCCTGTCAGAAGCTGTTGATTAAACCTGAAACAAAGCAGCTCCGCTGAGCAAAACCGTCCAGAACAAAGACTGTCCTAATTCTTAAACATTATCAACACACACAAACACACAGCTCCCCCACAGAATCCGACCATGCATTCTTTGCATGTATAATGTAAACACTTTACATTTTTATGAATAAGTTATTTTATTTACTCGAGACATTGTTTCTCAGGAATGTCCTGAACCTGTTCATGATATTAAAATTACACAGTGTGTATCTGGTCTTTACACGAGGCTTTGTAATGTTTGAAAATGTGTACTCAGATGTCTTACAGTCAAAAAACTGCACCGAAATGAGACAAACGTTAACGAGCGGTACTTCGATGTCCCCCGTCACTGAGGGGTTTAAATAGTGACTGTTTGTAGTTTACAAGATGAGTGTTTTTCTGAACTGGAATTGAACAGGGAATGGAAGTAAATCTAAATGTTTTTGGTGAAAGATAATCAAAATGGGAGGAGTTACATTGTGGAGAAGAACAAAGGGTGTTTTTATTGTTTTGATTTTTTTTATTATCTGAGACAGCGTAGAGTGACAGTTCCTGGAGAGTGGAGGGAGAAACTTAATCCACAACCATGTGCACTGGAAGAGCTGGTGGTCTTGGCCCACATAGATTAATCTTCAGCCATTCCAACCATGAGAGGAAATTATACTTAAAAGCAATAAAAAAAATTTAAAAAGCTAGAAAACATAGTTTCTTCAAATTGTAGGGGTGGCTGATTTACATACATACATACATACATACATACATACATACATACATACATAC